GATTAGTGGGAAAGTTAAAGGATGTTGGGGTATATAGGAGATTAGTGGGAAAGTTAAACTATCTAATAGTAACTAGACTAGGTATCACATTTTCTGTTAGTGTAGTTTGCCAGTTTCTTCCGCTGCCAAGAACGACTCATTTGGAGGCTGTGAAGAGGATTCTTAAATATCTAAAGAAAGCTCTAGGAAAGGGAATTCTCTATTCAGATTGTGGGCACACAAGAGTTGCGGGTTTTTCAGATGCAAATTGTTCAGCATCACCTTCTAATAGGTGTTCAACTATCGGTTATTGTATCTTTCTTAGTGGAAATCTTGTTTCTTGGAAAAGCATGAAATAAAATGTGGTTTTTTGGTCTAGTGCAAAATCTGAGTATCGAACAATAGCAAACGCGACTTGTGAGTTAGTTTGGATTAGAGACTTTTTGGCAGCAATTGGTTTTCTTCCTGAATGCACTATGGGATTATATGTTGATAACAAGTCCGCTATACACATTGTTGAGAATCTTGAATTCCATGAGGAAAGTAAACATATTGAGGTTGATTGTCATATATTTTGTGAGAAGATGAATGGAGAGATTATTTTAGCTAAAACTCTTAGGAAAACACGAGTAGATTTTATTTGTGACAAGCTGGGCACGTACAGTGCATATGCTCCGTCTTGAGGGGGGAGTGTTGAGAGAGAGTTAAATTAGTATTTAGTAATTAGTATTTTGTCATATTGAGAAAAGTAAACATATTGAGATTGATTTTCATAAAGTTCATAAGAAGCATGCATCGTCAGAGAATCAGCCTGCAGATACTTTCACTAAACCTCTTAGGAAGCTAGGCACGTACAGTGCATATTCTCCGGCTTGAGGGGGAGTGTTGAGGGAGAGTTAAATTAGTATTTAGTAATTAGTATTTTGTCCCTCATTGGTTATGGGATAATTATGTAAAGAGGAGAGAAAATTATCTCTTCAATTTCTCTGATTACTAACTTCTACACATATATCTAGTTACCTACTTATGTGTTTCTTATAACAATCGGTGCCGAGCAGTGATTTGAGAATAATTTGCCACAAGTATAGAGCTACCATATTTCGTGGACTTTGCTGTCCCTGTATATGTTATTTGAATAAATGAAGACATCAAGTTATTTTGCGACTTTTTAAGAAATGGAGGTTCACAGAACTTTCCCACAGTGGAAGAGTTGATAGAGGTAGCTAAGGTGGGAGTACATGGAGACTTCACTGACTTTTAAACCAGTTTTAATATAGTTTAGGTAGTTTAAGGTCAATATCATTTAGGTCCTGTAATTTTTATGATCATTGCAGTTGTTTTTTGCAATTTTGAGGACTCGGTTGTCAATCAGTTTGTAAGAAATATGTGTTTTGTTCACTTTTTCCTGGAAGTTTGTTTACTAATACGCAAAACTTTTTTCAAGAAAAAAAAAGTGACATGGCCATTTCTAGAGTGTGCTTTACAACAATAGATTGTTTTCAACCTCTCCAGTGATTTTCGATTTTCGATTTTCCTCCGCATCTCAAATTTCACTTGAGTTTCTTGACTGATGTTCATGAGACTATAATTTCCTTTTTCTTATCGTTTACGACTCTACGAGACAAAAGTTGTTCTTAACACTAATAGATTATAGCTACGCCATGATGAGTTTTTACGAACATATGTTTTGTTTGTAAAATTTTGAAGGAATGCGTAAAGAGGCGAGCTCTCAAATCAGTCAAGAACAATCCTCATTGCTCAGAGGCAGCTGCAAAAGACGCCATTGAATCCGTGTGGGATATCTGTTACAATGATACTCGTCCCTTTGACAGAGCTCCATAAACTGTGCTCTGATGATCGATACATTTTGATAATTTTAAGACAAAAGAATTCTTTTTCTCCGATGAAGTAAAGGGGGAGGCACCCTTTGGGTGTACATGAGCTCACTTAACTGGTTCCCACCATTTTCTGACTTGCCAACCAATGCTACCGCAACACCATCTCTTATATTTCTAAGCATCTGTGGAAGATGCTTGGTATACGAGAAATATTGTTTTTTCCTTGAAATTTTCAAGAGAAATCTTATTCAATATAAGGCAATGGTGAAATTCTATGTAGTGACATGCTACATAAGTTTTATTTTTTGTTCTGTCTTAATTGATTTCAACTAAACTTGGTTCAAGAAAACTGGGCTTGCATTTCCTAAAACCATCTATTCCGCATTGAATTTGTATGTGCAATCTGAATGTGGACTACAGAGATCGAGACAACCTCCAGAACTTGCAATCTGCAGTTTTAGAGCTATTGATATAAATGTGGCTGAGAGATGCTAAAAATGAAGTCTGAACATTCTCAACTGAAGCATCTCTACCGTTATCACTGTAGGAACCTGGAGTAATTTTGTTACATTATCAACACCAAGAAAGGAAAAAAAAAAAAAAACAGTTTGGTAACATTAAAGAGAAAAGCATATGCTCGTGATTTATAAAACCTTTCATTCTCCCATGCAATGCAGCTCTGTTATATTAGTCTTGTGATCACATCTTCATTAAAGCTCTAAAACAAACAAAGACACACACACACGAGCGCGCAACATACTAGGTGGGATGCACGTGTTCAAATAAATTTTTTTTTTTCATTTGGATTTATCTCCCTTTTTTTTAGAAACAAGTTTATGTCTTTACTGTAATTCGTTTGTGAAAAAGTTCATGGTTACCGTATAATTTATTGCATGAAATATGATCATATTTCATTTTGTAGATTAATATCAAACTTAATAACACATTGGATTTGGTTATGGCTTATAAATTTTAGAACTTTGATCCAATAGACATATCAAAAATTCCAACTTATACTTTTTGAACTTCGATTTAACAGACATACCAAAGAACTTTTATGTTGTATAGCCAATGCATAACGGCTAATGCAATGGGGAATATATACTAAATTCATACTTAATAAAATCCACACGAGACCAACAAAGAAGATTAGTTACATGATCCAAAACAGTAGTTTAAAAGTAGTAAAGATTATGTATCAATATGTTACTAATTACTAATAATAAAGGTAATATGATTTTCAACATGGGTGAGACACTTACTAATCAAAGACCAACTTCCCACAAAACTATTATATCACACTTTTTATTCTAAATTACAACAATACTATTCAGGAAAAGTGACATCTACTCTAGAAAACATAAGGTATCAAAGCCTTGACCTCTCCAGGAAAGCTTTCAAACTTTGAGAGATATCATTTCCTTATAGCAAAATTCTTGCCGGTTAAATACAAAGTAGCGTCAAAGGAAAAAAGGAAGTGCACGGACAACTTATGCAATGAGTGTAATTCCTTAAGATTCTATGATCTAAAAAAGATAATGCAGACATACAATTCACCCAAAAAAAATCTCCCCTTGGAATCTTATAGCCTTTGTCATCCTTCGTTCAAAGAAAATGAAATTTTAGAGGGGTCTTGTTCAAATTCTTCAAATGTCATGTGTATTTTTGAAATTACTTTAAGTTTGTGCTTGGATTCAAAGAGTTTTTATAATTTGAAAATTATAATTAATTCCAATCTATTGTTTGGGAATCGTTACAATTTCAATTATTGAGTTTTCAACTCCAAAGTCATTTTGGTACTTTCCGAATTAAAGGCAATGTTTGTAATTTTCTTGCTTCTCTAGGAGTTTGTTTGCAAATTTCAATTTTTAGGGAGTTGTTTGTAAGTTTTATTTTTCTCAGAAGGTCATTTGCAATTGTTAATAGTTTTATAGGGGTTTTCCTAATTTTTAAAAAAAATCCGGGGATTTGCAGTTTCAAATTGTGCGTAATGAGGTGAATAAAACATGTTAGATTGTCAGACTGTTTTTATAGCTTTTGAATTTTGGATTTTTTTTTTAACTTTTCGGAGGTTGTTTTTAAGTTTTTAATATTAAGTGGTTGTTTGTAGTTTTAAATTGTTCAGAGGGCTGATCTAAGATTTTAGATTTTCATGGTGTTTTTCTAGTTTCACTTTTTGGGGTGTTTTCTACAACTTAAGATTTTGTAAGTCTATTTGTAATTTTTAAAATTTTGGGATGCTGAATTAAAGATTGTTCATGGAATGTTCAAAAGTTTTTGGTTTTAAAGAGAGTTCAAACTCAGAAAGGCCCCTATGGTTTGAGCCATAAATCTATTAAGCCCCCAGACTATTATTTGGATCTATTAAGCCCCTATACTTTTTATTTTGAATCTATTTAGCCCCTATGGTGTTTCTCCATAACTAAAAAGGGTATTTTTTTTCTTATTGAATCTACTTTTTAGTTATGGAGAAACACCATAGGGGCTAAATAGATTCAAAATAAAAAACATAGGGGCTTAATAGATCCACATAATAGTCTGGGGGCTTAATAGATTTACAGTGCAAACCACAAGGGCCTTTCTGAGTTTGAACTCTTTTAAAGATGTTAGTTTGTAATTTTTGATTTCTTTAGGGTGTTTTTTTATAATTTTTAGATCTTTCAAGGTGTTGTTTGTATTTTTTTTTAAAATTTTACGGTGTTGTGTATAAATTTAAGATGTAGGGGATCGTCTAAAATTCTCATATTTTTACGATGGTTTTTTTATTTAATAATTTTCAGTGAGGAGGTTGTTAATAAATTTTAATTTAATGGTTCTGCCTGTAATTTTATATTATTTAGGAGGTTGTTTCAAAAATTCATATTTTCTGAGTGTTTTTGAAAATATGCACGGTAACTCTTATTTATTATCATATAATAAATTTATTAGCTTTGTGAAGCATACAAGTCTCCCACTTGCGCTCAACGACAATCCAATACAAATTTCAAACCTATCTTGTCAATTTGTTTCTCAAACACCTTTGACTCAAAGATTTAGTCGATGGGTTTGCCACATTATCGACAGAAGGAACTTTGGTAATGTTTATGTCTCCTCTCGTAGCAATTTCTCTTACCAAATGATACTTTCTTTGATGTGTTTTGATCTATAATGAGCTGTGGGCTCTCTGGCTTGTGCACTTGCTCTACAATTATGACAATGCAAAGTGATGATATATTTGATAGCGTGAACAATATCTAACTCTTTGTTATGACAAGTCCCAAGGATAAATTTATATCAATCACATGAGCGCAAAAAATATCAAGAACATACGAACACAAAGATATGCGTGGTTCGTCTTGTAGCTTACGTCCACGGGCGAATGAAAAAAATAACTTTACTAAACTATGAGGAATACAAACGTGATATCTCTAAATCACTTATCTCAAATCACACCGCTGAAAGCACTTTATCTCCCTAACAATTTCTAACACTTAGAGAGCTAACCAAATAGAGAGTCAAATCAAGAACCTCTTGAATCTATTGTTTTAGCCTGCAGAGCCCTTCTCAATGCCTACTGTTGTCGTCGGGTGGATCAACTACCTATGGCCTTAATAAAGAACCATCCGTTCTTTCACTTGATGTTGCGACCTTTAGTTGGGTGGATCAGATATATAAGGAACACAAGAGAGAGTCAATATCGAAACCGAATTACTTCACACACCTTCACAAACAACCTGTTTTCATCTCGTCATGCGGCAAGCAACCTCAATTATTTTCTTGATGTTGCTGCCATCTAAAAGCTCACGGGTGTTCTCACCAAAGAGGCTTCAACCTACAATCCTTGCTATTTATAGATAAAGGACATGTAACATGATAGGATCAATTGTCTTATCCTTAACCATCCCATCTGATTGAATGTCCTAATAATATAAGAACTTTATTCTTATCCAACAACTAGGAATTCAATCCCTTAGCAAACATAACCAGCGTGAGTCAAATGCTGAGCCGAGTTGGAGGATGCATATTTGATTGTTTGAGGCACAACATAACACTCTTGTACAAATTTTTTTAATCCAAACGGCTTCTTTTGCTACTTCCACAGCTGCAATATATTCTGCTTCATTTGTAGAATTGGCTATAGTTTCTTGCTTACAACTCCTTCAATTAATAGCTTCATTATTTAATGCAGAGATAAACTTTGATGTATATTTTCTATCGTTAGAATCCTATTGCAAATAATAATTAGTGTATAGCTCAACTTTTAATGGATCATCTCCAAACACTAAACAACAATATTTCGTTTAGTTGAGATGTTTAAGAATATGCTTAAGATTCAAAATGTTCATATTTTTAGGATGTTTTTTGTAGTTTTGGAATTTTCAATGGAGAGTTTGTTAGTAATTTTTAAACTTGAGGATTCTTATTGTAATTTCATATTGTTCAGGAGGTTGTTCTAAATTCTAATATTTCGATCTTTTTAATTTTCGGATTTTCAGGATGCTTTTGTAATTTTTTGATTTTTTGGGTGCTGATGTTCATAATTTTTAGAATTTTCAATTAGCGATTTGTAATTTGTAGCTGTATAAAAGGAAGTTTGCAATTTTTGAAGTTTTAAGGATTTTTAAAAAAAAATTATTACTAAGGGATTGTTTTTAATTTTCTGATTTAAGGATGTTTTGTATAATATTTAGATGTTTAAAAATATTGGTCATCACTTTTGGACTTTAAGGATTTATTAAAGATATTTCTATTAATTAGGATAAGATCACAAGTAATGTATTATAGATCTATTTAAAGGGTTCTATTAATAGGATAGGATCATAATGTAATATTTAAAAAGATCAATGACAATATTATCCAAGGAAGGTTTTCCCTGAATACCACATCATTGTATATGAGGGAATCCTCTCATATGACATATGATACCCATTAATCTCTCTCTCTCTCTCTCTATATATATATATATAGACACACACACATACATATATACGTCCTCTTGTAATCACAAATCCAAATATCAATAAGAAAACAGCACGGTTGTTGTATCTCTGAGTTAGTGTGCCTATCTAAATGTTAATATTCTGCAGCCAAATCAGTGTTTTCAAGACAAAAACCAAAACAAGGAGATGGAGAATGTACACAGATTTTTCTCCATACCTTTGAATAGGCCGAAGAAAAATTCAAATATTTCTTAGCATGGTCTGACCTGATCATCGTACACAATCCAGGATAATACTTGATCCAAAACCGACAAAACTAACAGTAGTCCTGAGTCAGCTGCAACACGCAATGAGCTTGGATCCAAAAATTTAGTCAAATCATTGAAAAGAAAGTTTATGTCTATCGAAATATCCGAGCTGAACAAATATCTCTGAGCTAAACTGAATATACCTCAAGGCAGGTAGCTGCCTGGTTGTATTAGTAAGCTTCTCGTGTAGCATCCTAAAAGAACCTCACAGTAAAGAATATAAGAATAAACAGACTGCACTACGTGTCCAATGCTTACAAATTGATACATGTATTATACAAATCAATGGAATGCTGATCATCCACCTAAAAAACACCCATCAAGTCCCAGGGTGAACCGGGGGATCTTGGTTTCTATCTGTAGCCATAGCACGTCAGATGAACCGAGAAAGAAAACTAGGTGATTTTTCTCCCTTTAGAACATCCCTTTGAAGATGGGGTTTGTTCTGCATATGCTTGCTCCATATTCTTCATATTCTGCTTTTGTGTGACATGCCTGCATAAAAAAACAGAACTTAAGTACCATTTAGAATAGCATAGCAAAGGACAAACAACAGCTCTAGCAATAGAACAAATGCTAAATAATGATACCATCATTGGCATTTCTTATATGTATGTGATTTTTCCAAATTTAATGGATCAGTTCTACATCTCCAAGATACAACATTAACTCGTGAAGAAATTTTGAGCAACATATTTAATTTTCCTTCACTCGTATACCAAAAAAAAAAGTGGGTTCTACAGTTCCAGATTTAAATTTAGGTGTTTCCACGGCCAAAAATGTAGTAGATGCAATTTATTCTCAAAGTTTTCAGACTAAAAATCATAGTTGCTTAGCAATGTAGAACTCAAAGTGCAGCGTAACATGGTCTTATTCCACAAAATTGAATGTATAAAATGAAAACACAGAATTGATTGTGTTTGGAAGTTTGTGAACTAACCAGTGAATGATGACCCAGCAGGAAAAAAAGGGAAAGGCAAGACAACAAGAAAAAGACGCTGTAAATCCCTTAAAAGGATGCGCAGATCATGTTGGGTTCGCCAAGTAAACTACACTGCTACAACATAAATGATTTTCACATTTCCTACATTTTGATTTTAAGGTACAAAATTGAAGTGAAAATTTCTTGTGTATTCAGGTGCGCCTTGGATGAAAATCAGCATTGTTCATCCAATTTTAACAAAGAAGAATTCCTCATCATTTTCAATGTGGATCTAACCGATCCTTCTCTAGTCATAGTTATCCGTGAACAGCACCTCACAAGAATTCATTGTTCGATTGTGTTTATTTTTATAGATATCCTGCCCCTCAACGTCAGACAGCAAAGTTTCAAGCTAGATTCATTATTATCATAACTTTTGAAGGGCTCTACATTCTCCTATTTTCATGGCATCATGTTTAACTGTCCTTTTAACTTTATTCCAGATTTGTTTCTCATTTAGGCTGGACCTATAATGCTCCTAGTACCTTTTAGCTTTAAAATACTTATATAGCTATAATTTTTTTTCCACATCAACATAGTTAATTCTCTTTACATACACCTTCTGTGCCAAAATTCATTTTAGGGTTCTACATTCAGAAAGAAAAGGAGAAGATAAACATCAAGTACCTTCCTGTTCCGAAGTTGTCAAAATATTCAAAAACAAATTTAGATTCTATAGATGTAGAGGATTTAGACCACAGAAAATTTTAACGTTCCTAAATTTAAGATAACTTTAAAAACACTGGTATTCTACAGATTGATCTGTAAACCCATTAAACATATGTAATATTGCTTCTAACTACCAATCTGATGCACACCTTTTTTATTCCTCTTTTAGCTATTCAAAATTCGATAGGAAAAGAAGAAGAAAAAGATACTCGAATGACAGGAAAAGGTACCCCATAGAATTCTGGTGTGGATGCAAGTACAGAGCCTCCAAACCATACAGCAAATCTCTGGATAGGATGGCTTACTACATTGACTTCAATGGGTTGAGACTGGGACCATGATGTAGAAAGGTCAGTATTGAAATATAAAAATCGCAAATAAGCATCATAGTCTTACTTTTACTTCTCCTCCATGCCAGGCTTCCGCTGCAACTATTCTAGTATCCACTATCTTCTTTAGATCCCTTTGTAATCTTCTGTGGAAGTCCTTGAACATGGTTGAACCTCCAGATAGCACTACATTCTGAGAACAGATATGAGAAATGTAAAAAGTCAACAAAATTCCAGAGTAGAAGATAATTTTTACCATCATTTTTTTTTGTTGAAAAAGACAAATCTTATTTTATATACCTTGTACAGGGCTCTCCTTGTGTCGATAGGCGCTGACTGAATGCACTTGTCAATAACAGTAGGCAAAGGAGTGGTAAAATCGCTACTGTAAATTTCAGGATGGAAGAAAATCTGCACAAAAAATTGTAACATCCAAAGATATATTAGAAGAAAAAGGTGCAAACCAAGAGAAATCTTCATTAAAAGGAAAATTAAATCAATAAGAGAAACTTGGGTGCATTTTTGAAGTAATGAAATCGGTCTAATACCATAGGCATTCTCACAACGTGATTTTCCATACACATTCTTGTTGTTGCAAGAGAAACTGCCACCCACTAGTCATATCAATGTCTTTCTATATGATTCATACACATCTATATCTAAGCATGTGTCTAAGCTTCTAGTTTACTTAGTAGCTTACGGTGAATGCTTTCATCAGTGAGACTCACAAATAGGAATCATTTATTTCATGAGACGAATAGAGTTCATATAAACATGGAAAGTTATGAACAGTGCACTTCTTCAATTAATGGCCTTTCTTTTCATTAAGTCATATCTAAAAAGAAAGAACTCGATGATGCAATAATGCAATATAAAAAACACAATCATTTCATAAAAAAAATGAGAGGCACAGTGAAGCACAAAGTCCAATATAGGGAAAACCAACCTCGGGGCCGAGGAAACGCTCATATCCAATATCACAAGAGTATGGTGCTCCTGTTTTTGGTTTAGTCCCACTGAATTGCTTGATGTACTTGGATGGTTCTTTGTCATGCTTATTGTACTCCTGGGATCATATACAAGAATCAGTTAAATCCTGATGCACCCGACACAGCTTTCATGGAAGCATTCAATAAACCAGTGATGTGACAAAAATCTTCGTAAGTACAGCTTCATTTTTCTTTCAAGCTTCAAGTTACTACTCTTTAAACTTACATGAGAGCAAGAATTCTACTATTAAACAAACATCTTTTTTTCATACAGAAAATACACAGTTCAGCATCAATTTCAATTCAATTGTCTGAATGTGTCTGAATATTGATCCTTTACTATAATCTGGCACCCAGACCCGCAGAAATATAAAATATCGAGCTTCTTATTTGCATATATGACAATAATTTTTTAACCAGGAAAATGGAAATTAGTATCAACAAGATGATTTTAATACTTTACAAACTTAATATAGTCCTCTGTCCTCCTTTCTGAATATTAAGCTCCTAGTTTTGGTTTATTGGACAATAGAAAGACAGACTGAAATAATAATATAGTAATTCAATAGACGTTTTAAGGAAAATAAACATACACCAGCAAAATAGCATGTCCAAGATTTTTTTTATAAAGTATATAAGGGGGGAAAACTCTAAGATTGTAAATTCTTTGATGTTATTTTTATATTTGTTCCAAGAATTTTGTTTATAAGACTGTAAATTTTTGAAGTTATTTTTATTTGTTCCAAGAATTTTAAGAAACCCCATGAGGCTTCCAATGGAAATGATTTGTTCTAACTTGTATTAGTAAAACAGCACAAAATAAATTTTATCAAGATAGACATGTGTAATGCGACTTACAGAAATTGAACACCATGAAATTACCTTAACAATGTCTGAACAGGTGTAGCAATACATTTCCTTCACCTTTCGAGCCACTTCAAAAGAGTCTTCTGGAGGTATATGCTCTCCTCTTTCCTATAAATAAAAATGTCAACTTATAAGGAAACCATGAAAAATCGATCTTCTAACAGACAGACTTGCTCGAGGCAATTCAAGTAAACAATAAAAAAATATTTGTCCAACAAATTTATAAAAGAAGTAACTGATTTCTAACTGATTCAACCATCAGCATATAAATACTGGGGAAAAAAGAAATCGGATTGACCTCATATTGTTTCCATGCCTCTGGCATTCTACTGCAAATAGGAGCCAATAACCGCCTTTCAAGAATGATGGAGGGAGTAAAAGAGACATCTCAACAGGCTTGATGGTAAAATTAAGTTGATGGTAAAATTAAGGAAAATCTGAAGTGTTTGAGATTGCTAACAATGAAGAGTTTATCCCATTGTATTCTGTAAAGAACTTCAAACTTAAATATATGAAATCTTAATAGGTTTAGTAAAGTCTGGGTATCAAGTAAAAGCTGAGCCAAGATCTAGTATTAGGCTTGTAAGTAACCTGGGAAAGTAACTACATTTTTCCATGCCCATTTTTTACATCCAAAGTTCGTACCAAAGTATTGAGAGAGATTTCTTGCTCCAAACTACTAGAAGTTGGGAGGTAAGGTTATGAAACAATGGTAGAAAGATGCTTTGCTATGGTTCAGAGATTATTGGTCTGCTGCAAATACACCAGCATCTTTCTACGGTTCAGAGATTATTGGTCCGCTGCAGATACTCCAATTTTTCATGAAATTTAATGTAGTTGTGCGTTTCTCTCCGTTGACTCATAGAGAAGACCAAACTCTATTAGAAACGACTTTCAAATTAGATCACTATCCACAAAGAAGCAGGCCCACTTGCATCAGGTCAAAAGATCAGATCAGGCAAAGCAATAGGTTTGGGTTAAATCCCATAAACAATAATATTCCCGCTTCAGATTTTTAGTATGTGGTCTAACAATTTAACGTAATAATAGAGCACTGCTCTCTATGCCAGTGCTGCTGAGAGCTTAGCTTGCTCACTGTTTTCAGAATTCAGCAAACAAATAGGTATGCAGGATTCCAAGTTAAAATCTTTGGCAGACATTTCGTCTTATAAGAAATGAAATTTTCATGCTATCCTAATCTTGGTTGGCATTTTGGCTATGGCTAAGATATTTCCCTTAGACTGCTGTTCAATCCTTAAAGCTCCTTCAAACTTCTGATCAACTATGTGTTCGAAGTGCATACATGTGGAGGAACCCCAGAGTCCCATACTCGCTAAATTTCACCATGAGTACGTCTCTGAAAGCAATTCCATGTACATCACGTATTCTAAGAGTAAAAAGAAACGAATTATAATCTCATGGATTCTCTGCAAGGAATCCCCATTTGGTATAGATGCAATGATGGGCAGTCTAATTCCTTGCGTGTCCATTTACTAGATGACAAACGCTATATGAAGACCAAAATGAATCTCAATAGTCAAACAATGAAACTAGTAACTATTTGCCAAAGTGTGTATACACTTGCACATGCTGAACTGCAAGCAGAAGGGAACAAAATTTCGAGCAGCATCTGCACTTAGGGTCTGTTAGATTGGATGGATAGATCTGCATGAGTAAATAGTGCAACTGGGTCTATATTTTTGCTGTTTGCTTTGCAATATTGTAATTAGGAAAAGTAAATGAACTTGCTGCAGTCAATTTTGTACATAAAGTACAAGAAGTACTGCATGTATGTGAATGAAAGTTGATAGATCACAAAATGGCATCAACCAAAAGCCAAGTAATTTTAATCAGAGGCTCAGGGGATGCGGAAGTCATTTACCTTCAAAAGCTGCTGAACAAATTGAGTAACATCCTTGCCTGAAATGGGAATAGACTTGATACTACTCCCTATCACATAACCTTCTGCAACTGGAACAATATGCGTAGCCCCCTCACCAACATCAACTACAACCCCTGTCATTTCACACTGAAAAGAGACATGAAGTTAGTTACCATTCAGGCTAATAAGAAACTATAATTGTGTTCATGATTTTAAAATACTTCCCATGAATAATTGTATTTAGCATAAGGAAGGTGTAGCTTCAAGCAACCAAAAAATTGAAAGAGAAACAAGTATATTATGAATTGAAAAAAAATGATCAGTCAAATTTTTTGATTTGGTACTTTTACGTTATATGGTGAATGATGCTGTTACTCCCTAGAAGAGTCCTATTGACTTCCCTTCATCTACACTTTATTTCAATGTTTTAAATATCGGTCGATAAACCGATATTATTGGCGATTTATTGGTTTTGGCATAGAAAAATCAACACATCTGTAAGAAAAATCAATTGACAACGAAAGCAAAGAAAAATCAACACAGCTAACAGCTGTAAGATTCTTTACTTGCTAAAAACAAATCCTTAAATTCAAGTAGTTACATAATAAGGCATGAATCAGTTTCATGACTCTTAAAAGTTAAACTCCCAAAATTCTCTGAAAAGATCTGAGTATCACTTCAGCTATAAAATGGAGAGGTTAAATTTTTTAAAAGAATATATTTGAACCTTAGAAGTGGTGTATCCAGCAGCAAGTGCAAGTACAGGCTGGACTGCTATGTACAGTCCAGGGACATTAAATGTCTCAAACATGATCTCTCCAGTGTATTCACGATTTTCAGGAGCAGTAAGTGGACTCTCCGTTAGAAGAAAATAATGGTCTTCAGGGTCACAACGAAGGTAATTGTATATACACTGCTGCCAGAATCTTTCCATCGTATCCCAATTCTCCACCTGCAAAGAAACAGCAAAGTTAAACGCATATCATATCTCATGCGAAAACAGAAACTAGGGATGTCCATTTAGCCAAGTGAGTTCATGTTTGAGTCTTTATATTTTGGAAGGAAAACACAGTCTCTTCCATATTATATAACACATCAAGTGAGCACACATTGCTGATATATTATTTCTGTCCAGAGAAGATCTACAGATATTTTCGTAACATATGAAAAGAATGGGATAAAGTTGTGTTTTTCATGATAGCTCACTATCAACAATTTTCGCTTACTCCAAAAGTGTTTGTACAGAGCTCAAAGTTATTTAGAAACTCACAGAAATCATCTTCACCATGCAAACAATCATGATGTTCCGTAAACACTCCTTACATGCTTATCAGAATTGCGGAATATTTTGTTTTTCATACTGAATATCTGCTGTTACCTGGCCATTTTGAATAGGGTAACTAAGATTGTATGTGCTGCTTGAACGAGACCGTGATATAGCCTCATCACCAATGAAGAAATCTAGATCAGCCATTACACCTGCACTGTATTGTGCTGACCAATTTCCCTTGCTAGAACTCCTCGACTGATTCAAAAAAGAGTCATTGACGGCAACTACAGTGGGGGTGATAAAGCAAGGCTCGACATTACCAGCAAATCCCATTTTGCTATACCTGATAAAATGGTCAAGATAATGTGTGAGCATATGACATGCAATATAAAAGCATACTTCCAAAAATAAAACTTAAGGTAATCAGACTAAGTAAATCACAACTTCAGTCAATTAGGAAACATGGGTGCTTAACAGAGTACAAAAAATAAACTGATGGGAGTATGATAAAAGAAACCACTTTGTCATATTTAAGACTGTCCATGAAACTACTTTGTCATAATTTTATATGTTAGAACTCTGCGCTATTATGCATGCATTATTATGTAAATTGAGTGGTTTAAACATCAGTAATGCCATTGTATGATCATAAAAGAAGTTGAGCTCCATAGGGGATTCTTGCAGATTTTTACGAGAATCCAACAAAATTATTGGCCCTATGTCTGATTTTATCAGACCAGCAATCCCTCTTCAAAGCTTGCTCTTTGATTAACAGATTCGAGAAGCTAAAAGGTAGATTCCACGTAGGAGCTATTCATTGGCAGAAATCCTCCCCCCAAACTAAGAATTTTTAGGAGATGTGGGCCCCAGCCCCCATCTCCTCAAAATATAAAGAGAAATTAAAGTTTCAAAAGATTTTCAGAAATACAAATACATTTATTTTAAATAAAAATCAATTCTCAGAGGGACCCACAAACCTCTTTCTGAGTCCATCACTTTTCCTAGAAACAAACAAGAATTCTTCGATTCCCTTTTCAGAACTAACTCTACACTCCACAATACTACAGACCAAAAACCAAATTAAAATTTAGATATTTGAATAGTATTTGGATTACAGACATGGTCACAGGTCCAAAATACACTATATGTCAAACAACTCCTTATGTGACTAGATTATAGTGTCTCTCGATTTTGAATCAGTCGTAAATTAAACTGATGGGAGTAAGACAGAAGAAACCACTTTGTCACCTTTATAATGTTGAATATCATATCTCCATGATATTATTTTGATGATAACAATTTATACAATGTGTGTTATACAAATGCACTAACTTTTATATGCAACTTTCAATATCAAAATATGAACAAGTGCAAGTTGAGTTCAAGGCATTATGAAGTGAAGAAGATGAAGAACATATGAGATAATGTATTTTACATTTTCTTTACTTAGAATTATTGTACAAGCCTTGATCACTCACGCACACACATAAATATTAGAACACACTAACACATGCTTAGTATGTTGGTTAACTATAGAAATCCCCTATGTTAACCATTAGAGTTATAGTTAATAATTGAGTATCAAAACATTTAAGTCATATTTTTTTTACTCTTAGTAGTCGACTAATTAGAATAGTAGTCGACTACTCATGTATATAATCTAAATATAAGTTTCTGTCAGTTTACAGTATAGTCGACTAATTTGAATAATAGTCGACTACTCAAGCTTATGACAGAAATATAAGTTTCTGTTATTTTATAGTATAGTCGACTAATTGACTTTATGACTACTAAAGGCAAAATTTATTTTTTAAGTTTCTGTCTAATTACAGTATAGTCGACTAATGACCTTTATAGTCGACTACTAAGAAATTTTCTGACTTCACAGAGTCTGTTTAAACTCAGTGTAGTCGACTATTTTGTATTGTAGTCGACTACAGATACAGTTTTTTTAGATTTTAAAGTTTGAATTAATGACTGTTTATAGCCGTTTTTAAACGTTTTTAAACGTTTTTAAAGTTCAAATAATTGTCTTTTCAAGGGCTATAAATAGGTTATTTGTTCAGAAAAATGTACAGCCTTACATACCCATATGCTTTGATCTTTGTGCATTTTTTAAGTGTAAAACATTCAGATTTTGAGAAAAAGAAAAGTTTCTGAAATTGCCTTTGAACATCATTCAAATACTGATTGTTTAGGCAATTTACAGAAGTTTGAATCATTCCTAAGCCACTACTACGTTACACTACAAATCAAGGCTTATAGGAATCGAAATTGTTGCTTCAAAAGTTCTCTCGGTTTGTGACAGGTGTTAATCTCTTGGTTTAGAGATTGATGTGCAAATTATCAAGGTGTTTGTTAATTGGTGTTGTAATTTGCAGGGCTTGCAAATTGGTCAGATCCTACATATAACTCATTCACACTTCAGAAAACTACTTTGTTATTATTGACGGGTTACCACTATACACTATTAATTCAATCAAAAGAAAATTGGATGGTATAAATTATTAGCAGTGCCATAATACGGTCATCAATAAAATAGAGATTCTTAGTTGACTGTTGCAGATTATAGTATCTCTTGAAGTATAAAAAATAACCATGGATCACATCAAATGTTAAGATATACACTATACACGCAGATGAGTGAGAGGAACATGTTGCAACTTGATTAGTTCAAGCAAAATTTCTCGTGAAATGTGTAAAGGAGAATTTATCAGATGACTGCGTCGAAATACGCAAATTGCTTGCTCAGAGAGGAATTACTCCTTGTAATGTGAGGGCATGAAGGTGTTCTTATGATCGAGCATAAGAAATGGACTCAAAAGGAACTTGAAAAAATCTATTAAACTGCAGCCACACAAGTATTAAATTCACTAAAATGTAATCCTTCTAGTCATTGAAAAACATGTACTCATCATGCACATCTCTCATGTAGAACAATCACAACTCACAAGTTAAGGTTTGGACAATGAAAGTTAAAGGAGAAGACTAACAGAATGGTGAAGTCATTTTGATACTACAGTTCATATGATATGTGGTGCCCTCAAGTGTTATTATGTAGTTGTTAGGTCTCATGTTTATGAGTCTACTATCTAATCTAGTTTTGATGATTAACAAACAATTCCTAACGTTTGTCGAGTGTTTATATTTGCTTGTTAGGTATTCTACACAAAGATCCTCCAGTTGGAGGTTTGTTGGAATTAAGTTTAACGATGACATTCAAAAGAGGTTGGTGGATATCGGAATGAAGCTATGTGCAATTTAAAGTCAAATACAAGATCAAACTTCATCCGCAACCAAGATGAGCTACATTGAAGACCTATAGCTTAGGTAAATAGTTTTGTAGTTTAAGTTTATACTGTGTATGTTTATACTTAAGAGCTCAAATTATACACACACATTGTTTTCATTGCCTTCAAGTTTAGCCACATAAATATGAAACAAATAGATATAATTATATATACACGCATATTTGTTTTATGTTTGTATGTGCTTGAAATGATTTCAACAAAATCAAGCTTTAATAATTTTAAATCAATAAAATCATATTTATTTGCATAATATGTGTTTACGGATTAAAAGACTCTTCTATGTCATTCTATATCTTTTATAAAGTCTATTAATCCATTCAAAAGAATGGTTGAAACTTGTTTGAAAATATTTTGTCAAAATCATGTGTTGTTGAGTTTTCGTATTTTGGGCCATTTTGTAAAATGATGAGTTTTTACAAATGAGAAATGCAATTTGAAAAATTCTTTTTGTAACATGTTTATTTTTATGTTTATAAACATATCCTAAAGTATTATAATTTTTAGAATTTATTTGCTATTTTTAAAGGGATTCAAAGTTTATATTTACTATTCATGATATACCATGTGTACGTTATCAGTCAACTAATGAAATCATCAGTCATGAACATACCATGTGTATGTTATCAGTCGACTAATGAAATCATCAGTCGACCGATGAAAGTGGTTGGAAAAGCAAAAAGTTTCTGCTCAGTCGACTGATAAACTATCAGTCAACTGATGCAGGATATTAGTTGACTGATGAGTTCAGTCGATCGATAGTGGATGAGCGGCTTGTAACGGTCAGCTCATCAGTTGACTGATGAACAGTATCAGTCGACTGATGAACAGTATCAGTCGACTGATGAACAGTATCAGTCGATTGATGACACTGTAATAGCTAGTTTTCCAGGCTGCGTGATTTTCGGGTTTTTTTTTGTCTTTTTGCTTGGATTTTCTTGGTTCTTGGGCTTTGTTTCATGAACCTATATATACCCCATGCCGTCTAACTTCTGATTAATCCAAGAAAGTTTTAAAACAAGTTTTATAAGTGTTTAAGGGTGTTTAAGAGTTTTTCAAGTTTGTTTTGTGTCAAGAAAGTTTTAAAACAAGTTTTATAAGTGTTTAAGGGTGTTTAAGAGTTTTTCAAGTTTGTTTTGTGTGAAGAAGTTTTCACAAAGAAGAGGCTTACATTTTCGGTTTGAGGAATTCAACATCATCCTTTCATCTACATCTCTTTGTGATTTTGGAGAAGTTTTCTAAACTCAATTATCTAGCTTGTTTATACTTACATTGTCATATTTATATTTGTTAGATTAATTCGAGTTTGATTTTATTTATACTCATTGATTACGCACACCCATTTGAGCTTAAGTATTTCATACATAGTATATTAGGGTTGTGAGATTGTGGCTTAACTTAGTTCTCATCTTTGTAATAGAGAACAAATCCTTTATTTGAGCTTTGTTGTTGAGATCACATTGTAATACACAAGGATACCGAGAGGAGTGGTTAGGAGAGACGTGAATCGTGATCGATTCCAAAAGGAGTGGCGTCGGTTGTAAAGCCTAGGGAGAGGTTGTAAATCCGAGCACTTGAGGAAGGCGACACGGGCTAGGCCAATACTTAGAGGGTGTGTTGTGTGATTACATTGTGAGTGTTGTAAACGTTTATCGGTGAGCATTGAAAACCGATTGTGTAGTTATTTGAGTTGATAGTGGAGATTCTCCTCGAGGGTGAGGAGCGGAGACATAGGTCGTGGGTCGACCGAACTCCATGATCATTTGTTAATGTTTGAGTTTGACTTTGACGCACTCTTTCTCTTGTATACTTTCATATCGCCTTTTGTCTCACGTTTATATCGCCCTTTGTTTATTTCTATATCCTTGCATATATTACTTGTACACATCATATTGCTAGGATATTGTTAGTTAATTAGTTTTAATTTGGCATTAAATATCGGATTAGAATAGCAAATACCCTATTCACCCCTCTCTAGGGTAATTTCACTAGTATCTGGCACGCCAAAGTTTACAACACAACACTGCCCGAGTCCTTAAAGGTTCATGAACAATGTCATGTCACTCCTAATTAATGCACTTATTGGTCGCCATTTCACATGCCAAAACAATCTCAATTGGTTTTTCCTCCATTTACTCACAATTGAAGCTCCTGCTTTATTGTGTAAGCACTTATTTCCTATCCTCTATTTTAGCACATTACTACTCATCATCTCACATTGTCATTTCAGCTAGCTATAATTTCTGGATATGTTACAATTAGCCTACATCTACACATTTGCGGTCCTATGGCATCCTCACAAACTATCCCATTGAATTGTCTTCCCATTCTGTGATCACACAGTATCCTCTAGGAGCACCTATCTACTTCGACCATCCCCATCTATTTCTATGAACAAACTCATAACTAAAGTTCCTAGTTTGACGAACGAAAAACTATCCTAACTAGCAAGAAGTAATTACCAAAGTAAAAGTGACGTGAAATCGCTCATCAATATGCTACATTAAAATTATAGAATTTTAAAACAAACCAGAAGTCTTGAAAACCGCAATACAGTACATCCTAACCTAAAAACTCAATACAAAACTATAAAAAACAACCAAGAAATCATCCACTAAAATTCTTCACAAAGAGCATAAATAAAATGAGCTACTTAATGCTTTATCCAGCTTCATTTTCAACCAAAAAAGCCATTTCAATCCAAAATCCGTAATAACTACATCATCAACTAAAATTCATGTACACCGCAAAAAAAGCAGGAATAATTACATCATCCGTTCATTTTTCTACCAAACTCTAATCTGGACCCTGTTCAAAACTCGTAATCATCTAATTCAAATTCAAACGTAAAAAGAGATCAGATCGAGTCGAGACTTTACCCGGTTCCGTTGTCGATGACGACGGCAGGGCGAGAAGTGGCGTCCATTAGAGCGTTCAGCGGATCTGCAATCGAGATCCAATAGAGCCCTAGGGCATCCGCTCATGGTACAAAACCCGCTATCGAGATGGATTCGAGGAGATCAACCGATCGCCTCTCCCTGAATCTCAGCGTCGATCCCAAGCGAAAGCGGCAGCTCAACCTCAACAACATCAACTGGCGGCGACGAAGCTTGGAGCGCACGGTTGATGACGAGACGAGATCAATGGTGGATCCCAAAATTTTACGACGGTGTTTTAGCTTTTTGCTTTTGCTTTCGCTTTCGATTTTGGCTCTCTCTCTCTCTCTCTCTCTCTCTCTCTAGATAAGACACGTTCTTGTTACTTGGTTCTCTTTTGTTTTTCTTCGTCGCTAGTTTTGGGGGCCAACATCATGCAGGAATCGAGCTCTGCTCGACAGTGGGGCTCCGAGGAACGGGCTGGGTAACTTGGTTGGTTCTTGATTACCCGGACCCGGATGCGTTCGGTTCCAAACTGATGCAGCAAATTTTTTTTTAAATACTAGCATAACGCACGTGAGCGTACTTTTATGTTTTGAATTTTTTATTAAATAGTAAGACTGTGTATTAGTAAATAAAGTTGTACAATAAGATTGTTTAAAAAGAAATGTATGAATTAGTTATTACGGTGTAGTTATTGTAATTGAATGTTTTCTTATAATTATCGCCTAGTGCTAATCTTTTTAAAATAAAGGCCCCCAACAATGTAAAATTATTCTTAAATAAACTTCTAATTCTATAAGTTCTCTTAAATATGTCCCTCCAGCTTGAAAGTTGTTAATTGTATTCTAAATTAACTAAGCTGCATCAATCTAGCTAGTTTTTTTTCTCTAGATAGTTACACTTAATACCTACAATAAATTGTAATAGTTACTTATCATTATAATCATTTAATAGGGTAAATTACACTAAACCTTATAAACTTTCTACCCTACGAACTTGTCAAATCACACTAGACCTCTAATGACTTTTCTATTTCAAAGAAAACCCCAATAATTTTTTGAATTATGCACATAACCCTTATAAATTAGAACCAGAAAATAACATAAAAAGACATTTTAAAAGTTCTTGAGGGTTTGGTGTAATTTATCTAAAATATATTTGGGATTTCTACAAAAGTTATTAGGGGTTTAGTGTAATTTCAAAAGTTCAAAGGGTCTATTTACTACAAAATGCTAAAAATTCATGGGGGCTTACTGTAATTTACCTTAATATTAAAATAATTATATTTTCTATATACTATAAAATATCTATGTAATTTAATTTTTTAATTATGCACTTAAATAATTTAGTATTGTAAGTATTTTATAAAAATTTTATTATAATATCGTTAACAATTAATAGTACTGTTACTAATATTATATAAGTTTTTTTGTAAAAAAAAGTCAGTTTTCAGTCATTACCAAGTATAGATTATTAAGTATCATGTAATAATCTTTGAGAAAATAATCTAAAATAATATTAAATTATTAATTTAATTTATTTAATAATATAATACTAAAAAAATAGTGTACTTCATAATTTATGTGGTATTATTAAAATAATTATACGATTTATACGTTTAAATAATTATTTTATTTATTTTATTGCTTATTGAATTATAGTATAATTCTCAATACTATTTAGTAATATATTATTCTATTTATACTATTATTTTATTATAATTCATAAATGTTATGGTGTTCACTCACCCAAGATACGGGTATTTGCAAAATGATACAATAAGTTCCTGGCAAAATGATCTCAACCCACTTAAGTGGCTCAAGCCCAACAGAGGCCTCGACCCCGCTGACTCATCAAGTCGACATTCTTTCATGCCGACATGAAAGGCAGGATCAATCGACTCTATCGTTGAGGACGACCTGATGCGGCATAAACATGTACCAAAAAGGTTGCAAGTGCACAACCGTGTCAAGTTATAGTATTTAAGATATCGATCCCACGAGGAAGGTGTTTTGTAGGAGAAAATATGAAATTGGTTCTTATTTTGTGTGCGTGACAAATAGGAATGATAAGTGAATGTGATTGTGAAGAGATTGAGAGAGTGAAAGTGGTGTGTAAATAGGTGCAAAGTGTAAATGAGAGTGAGTATGAACAATAAGGTGAGAAGGAAAAATGAATAAAATCAAGAAACAAATAAAAAATTCAAGAATGAAGAACAAAATTCTAGAATAAAAGAAAATGATAGAAATTAAAGATGGTGGATTCAATTATAGATATGGGTAATCTAAAATTGAACCCACTTCTTAGAAAATGGTGATTCCCTAGAGGGTTCTAGCCTAAAGGCGAATCAAACAAAATAAAAATAAACAAAAAGAAAAACTAAACCCAAGAGGGTTCTAGCCTCAAGGTGAATAGTATAAGAAATTAAAATCTAACTACAAAATAAATTGCAAAATCTAAACTACAAAATAAAATTGCAAGAATTAAATGCAAGAAAATAAATCTACTCTATAAGCATGAAATAAATCTAAGGCAAGAGGGTTCTAGCCTCTTGGCTATTTAACAAGAAAATAAAATCTAAACTACAAGCATAGAAATAAATCTACACTAATAAGCAATAAAAAGGAAATAAAAGAGAAAAAGGAAAGAAAATGCAAACCTCTAAATAATTCTTCATCTCCATCTTCATCATCCAACAAAGAGAAGAAATATTTAAAGTGGTGAAAAAATTATTATTATTAATTGCAACTAAAGTTACAATTTTTGGAAGGCCTTCTCAATTAAGAGTAGCCCTCCTCTCCAAAAGGAGTTTACAAAAATTTTCACACCTCTAACCCCTCACTCTCTACCCCTATTTATAGTAAACATCAGTGAATGAGAGCCATTGGATCAAACTTGAGCCCCAAGACAAGCAAAATCAGCCATTGACGCGCGCTACAGTAATCTGGTATCGATGCAGGCATCGATGCAGGTATCGATGCCAGCATCGATGCCCACATCGATGCCGACATCGATGCCCATTATTTTCAAATTCTGATTTCACGGATAGCTTCGTCTCGTCGAGATAGGCGATTTTCATATATTATATGTTAAATTCCGCCTTCCGGATTAGGAGATATCGTCGTTTCTTTGTGGCCAACCATTTTGAATATGATTTCTTTTCATATTGGATTTTTGATTTTCTCCGGGTTCTACAGGCTACACGACTTCATTCTGGGCTTTTGGATAATTTGGAAATTGATTTTCCAATGGGTTTCTTTGCTTTATTTCTTCATTTAATCAATGGGTTTTTGTTGAGAGATGGGAAGTTGAGATTTATTCTTCATTAACCTGCAATTAAAAGATAAAAATAATTATTAGTGGTATATTTATTCATATAAAATAGATAATGAGGGTATAAAATTGTAATAAAATATGATTATCAAATACCCCCACACCTAAACTTTTGCTAGTCCTCTAGCAAAGAAAATAAAAAGAAAATCCTAACTCACTTTCGCAGGAATCGCGGTTGTATTTAGCGCATACAACAAGCCTTTAAACCCCTAGGTTACCCTAGTGGACGAGTTGTAGTCTCGTGAGGGTTTGCAGTGAATATACCCACAAAATTCGGTCAACTTGCCAAATTAAAGAAGTCAGTAAATAACTAAATTCACTTGATAACTTTTAGATAATCTAATTGGAGCCAGTTATCACTCAAGAAAACATTTTTATATATAACTCTAAGGTATATTTTTAAGAAAATCTTCTCATTGTAGCAATACAAAACCAAGCCAAACTTAGAAATTTAATTTAAAAGTTTTGAAAAGAACATGCTAACTCTTTGTTTTAAATAATTTTCAAGTTGCTTGATTTAAAATATTTTCCAAGATCATATATACAACCATAAAACATTTATTAATTTTTTTTTTAAATTTTTTTTTAACTCTTTCTTCCTTGGTGATTTTTTTCTACTTTAACGGGCTTTCTAAGTGATAATTTAACGAGTTTTGGGCCAATGGATCCCAACCCAAATGGGCTTAAGTCATTAAGTATGGAAATACTCCTTGGGCTTAATTACTCGCTCAGCTTAGGCTTTATAAGATAGAATCACCTTGAATTCAAGAGTTTTTTTTTCTTTTGGTGCCCATTTTTCACACTCTTCTTTTGCAATATTTTTTTTTGTATATGTATATATATTTGGAAAATATGTAAATCAAGACACTTTGAAAAAAAATTATTTTCAACTCTAAGTTAAGCATGCAAAAATTTCATTATTTTAAATAAAAGTCCAAGTTAAGGCTTAAGTAAAGTATACTACTTTAAAAATCATTTCTTAAGAAATTTATTTAGAGTTATCATAAAAAGTGAACTTAAGTAAATAACCAACTAAGGATTAGAAAATTTCAAATTTATCAAATAAATTAATTATTACATAACTCTATCAATTTGGCAAGTGACGATATTTTTATAATTTTTTTTTTAAGAAAAAGGAAAAAATGTAACTAAAAATGTAAAATAAAGAGAAAAAATAACTAATTCCCACCCCCACACCTAAATTTTGCATTGTCCTCAATGCAACTCTATGATGCATAAAGTAAAGCAGATAAGAAGTAAAGCACTTACATTTGGTCGGCTGATAAAAATCTGTAATTACCTTTGGTCTGAGGAGGAGGAAATCAAACATTTATTCTTCTTTCTTTTTTTTTTGTTTTTTTTTCTTTTTTTTTTGAAAACTGAACAAGAAACTCTCACATGAGAGAAGAATAAATTCTTTTTATTATTCTGAAATAAACAAAATAAACAATGTAGAATGAAATATTCAACATGAAGAGTTCATGTTCTACATTAAATCCTACCTTATTGCTGAAAATTCTCCCACGGATTTTAAATAAATTCAACATGATATAATCAACAATGTGCTGAAATTCTAAGCATTCCGGGGTGTTCAATGATTTTTGTGGCAATGGAAGGTAGGTATTATTGGTGTCATGCATATTGGACTTAGATTCTTGATTTGTGAATGTTTGTTCTCTAACAACCAATTTTTCTTTAACAATTTTCTCAACCCCAAGATTCATGGTTGATGTGTAAAAATTTGGTTGTTGTTTATTTTCCAAAAATCTTAGTTCATCAAGAAAGAGTTTTTCAAAATTCAGTTCAAAACAGCAATTGTCCAACACAGTTTCTTTATTTTGACAAACCCGATCTGCTTCTCCTAATATTTTTAGCTCCTCACCGAAAATTTCCTCAAAACTTAGATCTGACTCTTCTTCTTCTTCCCTCGGTCTTTCCTGAATTGAATTATCAGGGGAAGAATGAATTGGAACAAGAATTTGGCTTAAAGGTGTTCTTTCCTGATTATCGACCTGTTTTCCTGACTGTAGTGCATTCATTTGAGTGTCCTTAGGATTGACCACGGGTTGACTCAGAATTTCTCCTTCCTCTACTTCACTTATGGCACTAGC